CTACCACCTAGAACAGTGTTTCTGCATGGTAGAGGGCCATGTTTCATGTAGTAGAAGCTTACCAGCCCCACTAAATCAGCAGAAAACAATTACAAAGTGAAATTTTTAAAAATTCAATTTATAACAGCATCAAAAAAATCATAAACATTGAGGACTAAAATTAGCAAAAAGGGTACAGAACTCCATAATAAAAACTATTCAACAATGCTAAGAGAAATTTTTAAAAATATTTTTCTCTATTGATTTTAAAGAGACTGTAAGGGAGAGGGAGAGAGAGATAGAAACAGATGAGAGAGAATATCAATTGGCCACCTCCTGCATGCCCCCCACTGGGGATTTGGCCCACAACCTGGGCATGTGCCCTGACCGGGAATCGAACTGGTGACCTCTTGGTGCATAGGTCAATGTTCAACCACTGAGCCACATCGGCTAGGTGCTAAGAGAAACTTTTAAAGTCATAAATAAGTAGATCATACTCATGGACTGAAGGTGAATGTTTTTGTTTAAATCCTTACTCAAGGATATTTTTCCATTTTTGTTCAGATAGAGTGGGAAGGAGAGAGACGAAGAGAGGGAGAGAGAGAGAAACATCGATGTGAGAGGGACACATTGACTAGTTGCCTCTTGCACAACTCTAACCAGGGCTGGGGATGAACCGCAACCGAGGTACGTTCCCTTGACTAGAATTGAACCCACAACTCATTGGTCCACGGGCCGAAGCTCCAACTGCTGAGCCAAACCGGCCAGGGCTGGAAAATAAATATTAATGTCAGTTCTCCCCAAAATGATCTATATAGGTTCAGTATAATACCAATAGGGCTTTCTGAGTAAATTTTAAAAGTTAATTCTATATTGTATATGAAAATGCAAAGGACCTAAAATAGCCAATCTTGAAAAATAAAGTTGGAAGACTCACACTATCTTATCTGATTATATAAGGATAGGCCAAGGGATCAATGGAACAGATTAGCAAGTCCAGAAACAGACCCACAACTGGTGATCAACTGATGTTTTTACAAGCATTTCCATGGAGAAAGGAAGGTCTTCAAAAAACAGTGCTGAAACAACTGCATAACATTCATTCAATATTACATGGAAAAATAAACTTTTATTCCTATCGCTAATATAACCCAAAATTAATTTCAGATCAACCACACTAAACAAACAAACAAAGCCATAAGTAAAACTACAGAAACTACAGGAGAAATCTGTGATCTTAGGTAGGCAAAGACTCCTCAGACAGAAGACAAAAAGCACAAACCATTAAAATATAACAAACTGAACTTTATAAAAATTAAAAACTTCTTTTCAAAAGACAGTAAGAAAATGAAAATCACAAACAGGAGAGAATATTCATAATATGTATATATCTGCTAAAGAACTTGTATAGAGCATCTGCTAAAGAACTTGTATAGAGCATATATAAAGGAACTCCAACTCAATAATAAAGAAGCACAATTAAAAAATTTTTTTTCTTTATTGATTTTAGAGAGAGGAAGGGAGAGAGATAGAAACATCAATGAGAGAGAAAATCGACTGGCGGCCTCCTGCATGCCCCCCTCTGGGGATTTGCCCACAATCTGGGCATGTGCCCTGACCGGGAATCAAACTGACGACCTCTTGGAGCACCGATGGGTGGACCCTCAACCACTGAGCCACACTTACCGGGCTTTTTTTTTTTTTAAATGGATTTATTATCTCTTCATTCCTACCTTTTTATTTTAATTTTTTTTCTTTTTATTGATGTTAGAGAGAGAGAGAGATAGAAACATCAATGAGAGAGAACATTGCCCTGGCCAGTTTGGCTCAGAGGTTAGAGCGTCAGCCTGGATCCAGAGATACCCGGGTTCAGTTCCCGCTAAGGGCACGTACCTCAGTTGCAGTTTGTCCCCGCATTGTGCGGGTGGCAACCACTCGATGTATCCCTTTCACATCAATGTTTCTCTCTCCACCCCCCCCCACTCTATCTGAACAAAAAAATAATAATAAGAGAACATTGACTGGCCACCTCCTGCATGCCCCCCACTGGGGATCGGGCCCATAACCTGGGCACAGGCCCTGACCGGGACTCAAACCGGCAACTGGTACATGGGTCGATGCTCAACCACTGAGCCACAATGGCAGGGCAAAAGACAACACAATTTAAAAAATAGACAAAAATTGCCCTGGCCAATTTGGCTCAGCGGTTATTTGCTCAGTGGTTAGAGCGTCGGCCTGCGGTCCAGAGAGACCCAGGTTTGGTTCCCACTAAGGACGCGTGTACCTTGGTTGCAATTTGTCCCTGGCCATGGCTGGTCGTGCGGGTGGCAGCCACTCGATGTGTCCCTATCTCATGGATGTTTCTCTCTCTCTCTCTCTCTCCTTCCCACTCTATCTGAACAAAAAATGGAAAAATGTCCTCGGGTGAGGATAAAAAAAAATAAAATAAAATAAAAAACTATTAAAAAAAAATAGACAAAAATCCCCACAAGTCATACTGTATGATTCTTTTTATGTAATATTTTTGAAATGGAACTCAGATTCATGGTTGCCAGGAATGGGGGGACAGCAGGTGTGAGGTGGGTATGGTTATACAAGGGCAAAAGGAAGGATCCTATAGTGCTCAAACTGTTCAATCTTTTTTTTAATTTTATTTATTTTTGTTAATCCTCACCTGAAAGATATTTGTCCACTGATTTTTTTTTTTTTATCCTCACCCAAGGATATTTTTCCATTTTTTGTACAGATAGAATGGGAGGGAGAGAGAGAAAGGGAGAGAGAGTGAGAAACATCGACGTGAAGGGACACATCGAGTGGCTGCCACCCACACGACCAACCAGGGCCGGGGACAAACTGCAACCGAAGTACGTGCCCTTAGCGGGAACCGAACCCGGGTCCCTCAGGACCGCAGGCCAACGCTCTAACCACTGAGCCAAACCGGCCAGGGCTGTCCACTGATTTTTTTAGACAGAGTGGAAAGGGAGAGAGAGAGAGAGAAACATGGATGAGAGAGAGATAATAGATTGGTTGCCTCCCACACAACCCCGACTGGGGCCAGGGTTCAAACTTACAACCCAGGTACCTGCCCTTGACTGGAATCAAACCCAAGACCCTCTGGTCTGCAGGCTTACACTCTAACCACTGAGCAAAACCAGCCAGGGTGAACTGTCAATATTTTGACTGTTGTGGTGAATACACAAAACTACATGTGATAAAACTATATAGAACTACATGTATATATAAATACACACACAAATTAGTGTAACTATCTTTACAAATAAGATCAGTGAATTGTACCAATATCAATACTTTAGTTGTGAAATTATACTATATTTTGCAAAATTTTACTATTAGGTAAAGTCTACAGGGGATTTCACTACAATTATCTCAATAAAATTTTCAATAAAAAATAAAAGGGCAAAAGATTTAAACAGATACTTCATCAAAGAAGATACACAACCCTGGCTGGTTTGGCTCAGCAGTTGGAGCATCAGCCCACAAATCAAAGTTTGATTATGGTCAAAGGCATGTATCTTGGTTGCAGTTCTGTGTCTGGCCCTGGTCGGAGTGGTGCTGGAGGCAACCAATCAATGTGTCTCTCTCACATCAATGTTTTTCTCTCCATCTCTTTTTCTCTCCCCCACTCTGTCTGAAAATAAATGGAAAAATACCCTCGGGTGAGGATTTAAAAAAAAGAAGATACACAGATGGCAAATGAACACATGAAACAAACTGTGGAATTCATAAAATAGAATTCAACTCGGCAATAATAATGAATGAATTACTAATATAACCAGATGGAGAATTTCACAGATACTGTTACATAAAAGTCAGACAATAAAAGAATACATACAGGCCCTGGCCGGTGGTTAGAGTGTCAGCCCATGGTCCAGGGAGACCCAGGTTCGGTTCTCACTAAGGGCATGTACCTCGGTAGCAGTTCGTCCCCAGCTCCCATTGGAGTTGTGTGGGTGGCAGCCAGTCGATGTATCTCTCTCACATCAGTGTTTCTCTCTCTCTCTTCCTCCCTCTCTCCCTCTCACTCTATCTGAAGATGAATGCAAAAATGTCCTCAGGTGAGGATAAAAAAAAAAGAATACATACAGTGGATGAGGAGATTAACTGCACTTGATAGGGTAAAAGAACTACTCTGTATTTTGACTGGGGTCTTGGTCAGAAGGATGGATATATACATCTTTCAAAACTCAACCAGTTGAACACATAAGATCTGCACATCTTATTGCATGCATAACTCAATTAATAAAAATAGTAAAATAGGCAGTATTCAGGTATGTAAAAACTGTGAAGACAGCACTTGAATGCCTCTATTGGAGTGGGGGGAATCAACCTAGAACATATAAATTCCAAACTGCACAGAAGATCATATCAAGACCATCACACCTGGTCCCTGCCTTCCTGGCCAGCCTTATCTTCTGAGGTCTCTACTCAAACAAACATATGCTAAACTATTACTGAACTAAATACTTGTAATTCCATTACTTCATGCCTCCGTACTCTAACACAGGATATTAGTCAGTTAAATATGACCCCTTTCTTACTCCTTGTGAATTCCTACTTATCTTTAAATACTCATGACAAATACCATCTGTCATCTATATAGACCTTCCCGCCATTCTTCTGAGTTCTCATAAAATGGGCAACTAACATTTATTGAGTACTTTAACATATAGTTAGACATTTTTACACATTACCTCATTCTACCACCAGAATGAGAAAGTTGACAAGTCAGTGCAGGTTAATGACTGTTGTTAGTAGCTGGTGTTATTAGCTACTTAAGAGTTAAAGGGAAATAAAGGTGGAACAGGTTAATCCTGAAATTTTGTTCAGCAGTGAGAGACTGACATCTCAGAAGATATTCAATACATATAAAAGTATTGTTTTTTTAAAAATAATAAGTATTAAAGAATTGTCAATCCTAGGAAAACATACCTGGCTCTAACTCTTCCAGACAAGGAAAAAAAAAAAGCAAAAATACTTAGATGTTCCTTTTGGACACTTACCTATATTCTTTTGTGCCCTGTAGTAGAAGTAAGGCCTGAAGCTCCACCACAAAGCCCTCATGCAATAAACAACAAGAAACAGGAATGCTAGAGGGAAAAAAAATTGAAATTTTGTTTTAGGAGGCAAAAAACAGAAGTTAACATCCTAAAATTAAATCCAAACTATGGGTTTTAAACTTAAGAGTCCATGTATGACCTCCACCAAGGTTGTAAATCCCATACATTTTTATGTCAATGTGCACTCTTCTGGGTAGAGTCCACAGCTTTCATCTTTCCCACTCCCCCCAATAATGCATGACCATAAGTATCTTTTTCCTGATGACTCAAGTTTAAAATGGTATGTGACCTTTACATTGTGAGACACCAGGACTGCTTGAAGTATCTAAGACTGGCTGCGAATTCTCTCCAGGTTCTTCCATCACCTTTTTTCTTTAATAACCTATTTGCTGTCACTTAGTGTTGTTCATATGCCTACTGTACCAATACACTCTAATTTGTTCATTCTTGGAATAAACCCAATTCCTCTCCTCCAAATTCTTCTTCTGAGAGAATTTGACATTTGTGAGTAAACAGCTTTAAGTGAAGTACTTTTCTTTCCTATGACCTGCCTGGCACTTTTTAAATTTATTTAGCTTATATTCTGGTTACCAGACATATTCCAAATAGATGAACTTTATCAAATTACTGTCTTCAAGTGAAATATTATTGTACTAGTTAGTGTAGCAGTACTTTTGTATAAATGGCACTCCAGCCCAGCCACTGTGGCTCAGTGGATTGAGTATCCTCTCATGGACTGAGAGGTCCAGGTTCATGCCCAGGCACATGCCCAGGTTGCAGGCTCCATCCTCAGTAGGGTGCCGACAGAAGGCAGTCAATCGATGTTTCTCTCTTACACCGATGTTTCTATATCTCTCACTCTCTAAACAGTCAATAAAAACGTATTTAAAAAGAAAAATAAACGGCACTCCACATAAGGATATGCTCCTTTTAATGTACAACCGAGTCTTATGCCACCAATAGCAATTAATTCTTACTAACATGAACATGCTTTTGTTTCATAAAACTTGAACTAGATATGGAACCTAAGAAGCTCAGTATAGAAATTAGAAATAAAGAGTAAAATATAAGGTAACATGCTGTTGATAGCTTACTTTTTGTTGGTTCATCTATTTCAAGATTTGACAGTTTTACTCAAAACCATTTTGTATTCAATTAAAGTGGATCCCAGTAATTTCTTTTAAATTAAAAAACTTATTAGAGGGCTAAGATAATATATTCTCAGAAAAGTTAATACACGTGTTTGAAAAACACTTTATTTTCTAGTTGATATTAACTATGTGCTTTACACGGTATGGAGAAACGTTATTTTTCTTTACAAACTTCAGTCAAGAGCAGGAAAAAATGTTTAATGATGTGATAGTTTTCAAGTTCGCTAGAGACTATGGACAGCTGGCACTATGAAACATTAATACTCTGAGACTAGTATTAACTTTTCTCATTTTAAAGAAGATGCCTAATATTTCTGGATCTCAGCTTTCTATTTTGTAAAACTAGAGATCTGAATCAGGTATCTGATTTTCTTTCAGTGTTAATTCCTAAAGTAACTTATTTTTTTGGATTAGCAACACCACTTCATTAAGACAATACTATTTTTAGATGGGGCCAATCGGGTGTTTTAACCTCAAATATTAAAAAACCAATTCAGCCTAAAACTAGTATAAAACAAGGACCAACCGTTTTCTACTATGAAGGTCCTCACTTAAACAAGGTGGTAGGCAGGGACTGTCCAACATGCCCAGGCCTGACAAATAACCCACAGCTGGAAAGGACCAGAAGGATCCAGATGCCGCCTAGCCTCCATTATACAGCTCTTGGTGACCCAGAGGGGGTAAGTAACCAGCCTCAGGTCACAAAGCAAGCAGGAGCGGAGCGTCTCCCCAACACGCCACGCGGTCCTAGGTTAACCAACTACCGGAAGGACCCTGGCTCCGCTGACCAGGGGCCCCACCGCTCCAAGTCCCGGTGACGCCGGGCGCGGAGAGCAGGAAGCTCCTCCCCGGAGGCCCCGCGCGGTCAAAGGGAATCGTGCCCAGCTCGGGACCTACTCGGTGGCCCGCACGAAGTTGCATTTGTCCGCCTGGCACACGTAGAAGCTCTTTCCTTTATTCACGCCATCGCGGATGCCGGTCTTCAGAAAGCAGAAGGTCCCTGAGTAGAGAAGGTTGGCAACAATTACGCAACGATAGATGGACAGACCGCGGAGGACCCTAGGACCCCTGGCCTCTCACCGTGCTCTGGACACCTGACTAATTCCATCACCTTCTTTCTTCTTCCACGAAGTCCCGCCCCAATACCTGCTTCCGCACTTTAGTCTGTCCTCAGGAACCAATCACCATCAGCCTCCCGTAGTCTTAAACTCCCCGCCGTAATTTCACCCCGGGCATTGACCCCACCCTCTAACTATAGTTAGCCAATCACACGGGAGGTTCGCTCACCAACCAATCATAGCAGCCCTCGGCGCGCGCCGAAATTAAATCTGAGATTAAGAGGCGTGGGAGCCGGGACCTTTGGCTAGGAGGCGTGGCTGAAGCTGCGGGGCGGGGTTGAGGCTGGGTGGGCTTTCCGGGAAAAGGAGGCTTCGCTTTGCAGGTCCGGAAGAGTGACGGGCGGGACTGAGACCCGGGCGACTCCAGTGTCCACTTAAGACCCGGAGGCGGCCCTAGAGGAAACGAGGGTTTACAAACTGCGAATAGAACTGCACAGAAGTCTCCCACCTCCCGGTGGCCGAGGGCTCCTCGAGCTTCCCAGTCATCCCCAAGCCGGCTCGGCGCTCGTGGGTACTCTGCCGCCTCGCTCGGCCACGGTCACTGGGCAGGACAGGCCTGCAGAAGCGGCCCCGCAGGAGGAGCCGCAGAATTTGCGGTGCTGGAGCGGCGGGGGCAAGTTAGAGTGCGGGGGACGTCCTTTAAAGCTGCGTGGTGAGCTGACAACTGTCACAGAGCAGACATAAAGGACCCCACAATAATCTTTTTTTTTTTTAGTGTTTTTTTTTTTCTTTATTAATTTTAGGAAGGGAGAGGTAGAGAGAGATAGAAACATCTATGAGAGAGAACCTGGATTGGCCGCCTCATTGACCCCCACCGGGATTGGGCCCACAACCTGGGCATGTGCCCTGACTGGGAATCCCATGGGCAACCTCTTGGTGCATGGGTCTAGGCTCATCCACTGAGCAACACCAGCCCGGCTCCACAACAATCCTTTAAATTTGCATAGCGTTTAAGACTTCACAGAGTGCCTACACATACACATCTCTCTCGACTGGACAACCTGGCGAAATGGGCAACATTTATGGAGGACCCCAAACTCAATAGAGGTTTGAGTGAATCCCCCAAGATCATAGAATCAGCGAATGGGCAGCTGCCTCCTTTGTGTACAAAATGTTCTCTAGACACTGGTAGAGTAGGAGCTCTGAGCTTACCTTAGGTGAAGGGGAACTTTGTACTTTTTGTTTGTCAAACTTTTTTCTACTAGCATGCTCTGGTAATAAAAATCAAGGATGAAATTAAATAAAAGGGGACTGTATTTGAAACTGTAAATAGAAATCAGACGTATTGCAATAGAGATGCCTACCTATTACAGCTATCGAGGACCATATGGCCAGATATATATGGTGTGGCATGTGTCACTGTACTTAGTGGGGATAGTAGGACAAAAGATCTTTAATGGCTAGAAAATCTGGGCTATATGATAAATGTAAATGTCATGGGGGTCTGGAAGACAGAAGGCAAGCCTGAGGTGTCATTTATTAATTAAACAAGTACAAAATGAATAGCTTTTTGTGTACCCAATGAGGACTGGGTGCTTGAGAAATGTAGAATTTATTTATTTATTCACACACACACACCCCGTTTATAACAACTATTCTAAACACAAGGAGCTTACTCAATATTTGATAGAGACTGAACACTTAAATAACAATATAAAATAGTATTAAGCCCTGGCCGGTTTGGCTCAGCGGTTAGAGCGTCGGCCTGCGGTCCTGAGAGACCAGGGTTCGGTTCCCGCTAAGGGCGCGTACCTCGGATACAGTTTGTCCCCGACCCTGGTTGGTTGTGCGAGTGGCAGCCACTCGATGTGTCCATGTGTCCCTTTCACGTCGATGTTTCTCTCTCTCTCTGTTCCTCTCCCTCCCACTCTACCTGAACAAAAAATGGAAAAATGTCCTCGGGTGAGGATAAAAAAAATAATAATAATAAAATAAAATAGTATTAAAATTTTTTTTCTTTATTGATTTTTTTTTCTTTTTAGAGAGAGAGGAAGGGAGAGAGAGAAACATCGATGAGAGAGAACATAGATTGGCTGTCTCCTTCATGCCCCCCAACTGAAGACTGGGCCCACAACCTGGGCATGTGCCCTGACCAGGAATCAAACTGGCAACCTCTTGGTGCATGCTAGGCCAATGAGCCACACCGGCCAGGCACAATATAAAATAGTATTTAAATGTGAAAATGAGTGGAATTAGCAGTAAACTCTGTAGGACTAGATAAAGATGTGCCTGGAACCAAAGAGGTGTTCATTTATATGTAACTGCCCCTCTAAAATGCCTATGGATGAAGTTAGAGATAAGACAGGAGCAAAAAACAAATAACTAAATAAAGGCATTTTCATAATTCCCAGATTATAGTTCTTGCACTGAGAGATTTTTTTTTTTTTTTTTTTTTTTTGTGGTATATGCCCCTAGCGGAAACCGAACCCGGGACTCTCTAGTCTGCAGGCCAACACTCAACCGCTGAGCCAAACTGGCCAAGGCACACTGAGAGATTTTTAAGTACGTATTTAATAGATGTTATATTGGGAGAAGCAGACCATGAATACTGGCTTTGCAAGACTTTTATAATTCAATTATTTCTTAAATAAGATCTTTTTGAAACAAGACAAAACCAGGGCCTCTTTAAATAACCCACTCAGGAAGAAGCTCTTCCTCTGTTAGTATCCCAGCCAATATCTCAAGTCCAACCCCATGAAAATGTGCACAGCCAGATCACAGAAAGGGGGAATATTTCTTCCATAAAGACGTGACATGATAGATCAAAATGTTTAGGCTCTACATGGGGACATCTGGCCCTGGCCGGTTTTGCTCAGTGGTTAGAGCGTCAGCCTGCAGTCCACAGAGACCCGGGTTCAATTCCTGCTAAGGGCATGTACCTGGACTGCTGTTTGTCCCCTGCCCTGGCTGGGTCGTGTGGGTGGTGGCCACTCGATGCATCCCTTTCACATCAATGTTTCTCTCTCTCTCTCTCCCTCCTTCTCTATCTGAATAAAAAATGAAAAAATGTCCTCGGGTGAGGATAAAAAAAAAAATAATAATAATAAATGGGGACATCTGTAATAGCATTAACAATAAAAATAAAGAGAAAAAATGGTTAGGCTCTAATACCTAATCATAAGAGTGAAAAAACAAGTTTGTCACTGGATGAAGGGTGGCCATAATATCGGCGTAAACTATAATGAATTATACAATATGCACTTTAAAAAATATACATATATATTAGGGTATGTGTAGTAACTTTGATTCTTTATTCACATTTTTAACATTTCTTTAAATAGCCTGCAGATCTGTGGAAACACCACTGAAGAATGTGTTTTATGGACCTCTGTTTTGAGTCAAATTGAAAGTTTGAGTTGGTTTTTTCTTACAGCTTGATATATTCAAAATGAATGCCTTGGCTAGGTCCTAGAGCTAGATGATTTAAATATACAGATTAATGATCCAATAAATTATTTCCATGTGGGGCTGGTGAAACAAAAAGTATGTGATGGGTTTGTTCTAAAATTGGATTGTGGTAATGGCTGCACAATGATATAATTTACTAAGACTCAGAACTGTACACTTTAAATAGGTGAATTCTATGGTATTTAAGCTATCCCTCAATAAAAGCTGTACAGAACAAAGAAACAAACAAAAGATATAGTGTATAAGCAATGTCAAAATGTCTGCATGGAAAATAAGAGCTAAAATTAATTATCTAAGCTATTTTGACATCTTAAAGAAATAAAATGGTGAAGAAGTAAAATAGAAACTGTTCAATTTCAAACAATGTCGCTCCTTAAACAGACTGGTTCTCTAACCTGTGAAATAAAATCCAGAGTGGTTCAAACACTCATTTTAATTCTTGGGAAAATGAAAGAAAAGTATTTCTCTGGTCAGCATTGTGCTGGCTGGCATGTATGAACATGTCAGACATCTAGAAGATACCGGTGGTAAAATGCTCACCTAAAGAATCACCCCTTGACATCCTTGTCACTATCTGTGTTGTTTACATATATAATCAGCAATGCCAAGTTTCAAGTTTTTTGTAAAATTCCAACTGCTATGCAACATTTACCTTTACTCATTATTTTAAAAATTAAATTGTTCTGCCCTGGCCAGTTTGGCTCAGAGGTTGGAGCGTCGGGCGGACCAGAGGTCCCGGGTTCGGTTCCTGCTAGGGGCACGTATCAAAATAAATAAATAAATAAATAAATATATAATTGTTCAAATGTGTTTTTTCAATTAATTGGTAACCTAAGTATATTTAGTATTCTGAATGTTATAGCCCTCTGAGTTTTGCTTGTTGCTTTGGGATGGGTGGGGTGGCGTAACTAATTTTAAATAGTAAATAATTTTTTCTTTTGAGGCACATTATTACTATAGGGAAACATTATAGCCTAACTTTTTCTGAGGTGGATTCTAAGTGCTTTTACATGCATTCTTAGTTCTCACAACAACTTGGAGTGAGAGTTCTTTTATCCCCATGTTAAAGCATAAGAGTCCAAAGTTTAGAGTTCTTAGGACTTGCCCAAGGCCCTGCTCCTAAACTCTACCTCACAGAGCCTGTCCTTAGACTTTGGAACCAGATAGATTAATATTTTCCTGGCTCAAAGTCACAAAGCTGACACCAGCAGAAGGGGACTGGAAGCCGTTTTTCGAGATTCCCAATTCAGTTCTTGCCACTATAGTATTTTTTATGAAGCATAAATTGTTCAGTGATTCACTCAAATATTTCATCTACCCATAGTCAAGCATTCAGATATTTGTAGTATACAGACAAGGCTTAACAAACCCAAGAAAAAAACAAACCAAGTCCTGCCATTTTATAAATGATCACTAGGTAGCAGCATATTAACATAAAAACCAAACCGAAGGCCCTCTTCTTTGGTGGTTTTATTCTTTTTGCTTAATGATATGTAATGGTAATTTAATTTCATTTCATTGTGTGCCTTTCAAAAAAACAACCATTTTAAATTTGTCCTTTAACACAGGCACAGTCAGGATGATATTATA